ACACGGGTGGGAATCCTGCACCGAGGCACGCACTGCGGAGGAACAGATCAGGGTGTCAGTACAAACACTTCAGAACAGCAGTTTTATTAGGGCTTTTGCACAATACTGACGCACAAGAGCCTAAAACCACATTGCCCAAACTAGCGAACCTCTGGGAAACAGCTCTTCAATTAATGTTCTTACGGTGGGGAAAACTCCTTAACAATCCAAATCGAGAACAGCGTTGATCAAGCTGGAGGAAGAGGAGATCCCAACGGCCACACACCCAGCCTGCCTAACCCTTGACGACCTGCCGGGCTCGCGCAGGTAGAACAAATCACCCTTCAGAGCCCGTGGCTCCGAGCAGAACGGCAAGCGCTCCTGCCCAGCCACACAGAGTCACTCAGCGCTGGGCCAAAAATCACACACTGAAGCCTCTCAGGCCAAAGAAAAACATTGCATAATTAAGATTTCTTCGTGCACATCTGCTTGACAGTCTTCCAGCCACTTTTTGATGAAAACTGTTCTAACAGTCAACAGTTTAAATATAAACCATTTCCACATATTCTGGTTAGTGGAGTACAATTGAGTAACGCCCTTCAGTTCAAATCTCAAATGTCGCAATATTCATTTCCCTCTAGTACGTTCTGGTGAGAATCGCGCCAACCTGTTTATCTTCCTGTGGCCTCCACTGGGAAGTTGAGATCGTGAGATTTCAGCTCTCGGGGACTGTAACACACTGACCCAAGGCCCAGGAGATGTCCCAACCTCCGGGCTATCCTGTAACCCGTGGTGGGACCGTTCCCCGTCCCCTGCTGAGGTTGGGCCGCTCTGCAGGATTCATGAGCCCAGAAGAAAACACGTAAGATGAAGGCAGGAGCTGCAACTTCACGCTGGGGACTCTCCACTGGGAGCGTGATTCCTGGATGCTGGCTCTGCTCTCAAAGCTTTTTATGCATTTTCAGGTATTTCTGACTGTGAAATGCATTACGCTTGGGCAACTCAGGCATTTAATAAAGAGCCTGAACACCTCCCTCTGTCTCATCTCTAGATACGAACTGGACTTGGCAGTGCTCTCCTTCTCCATGGACAGCAGCGGGAGGATTGTGAGTTTAAATATACAAAAGAGCGCGAGCTACTTGAATACTAACTAGGGATTATCAATAAGTGTGTAGCATCCAGAAATCCCAATTCCTATGATTTATCTACCAATTTCAACAATGCTAATAAGTTGTGCAATGAACTGGGGATGTGCTGGGAAACTCTCATGGATGGATCACATCTCGTAGGAACAACTAAATGACAAGACCCTTATTCTCTCAAGTGAGGACAGGAATATCAGCACATCAGGCTCTTGACCTTTCCCATCACTAATACATCATCCCACGTATCAAAACATGGAAACTGCAGGAAGCCCAGCCAGGACATGGTAATTCGCCTTTGGAGCACATGGCAATATAACATCTATGACAGAGAATACTTCAAGAGAAATATGAAGAGCACACTTGTAACTGCTAGTGAAAGAGAGATTTGTGCCCTCAGTAAATAACAAACTTATCTTGCTATACACATGAGAACCCAATGATGGCATGGCACAAAATTAACAGCTGGAACAAGTGGAAGTGGATGCAATTCTGGGTAACTTCTGTTTTGGAAGGTCTTCACCTTTCCAGACTATGCTGTTCCAGTCTTTCATTTATTTTTGGTGTGCAAAGTATGCCTAGCAGACTTGTCAGTGACTGTCAGTAACATGCAGCCAGCTCTCAGCTGTCTCACATGAGAAAGAATGAAATGGGTTCCTATATTAATGTGTCTAACCAGCGCAGCGACAGAGGACAGCAGCTCTCAAAAGCCCCACAAAAGATGCAACCAACCTTGGTGAACTGGTGAACGATGATGTGCAGGCAGTGCCTCTTCATGTCCAGGGCCTGGGTCTTGTCAGCTGCCTCTAAAATCTACAGGAAAAACAGTGATGTGATTTTCCTTCTGCATAGCTCAGCTGTACAGTGCACACACACTGTTCTGACTCAGAGGAGGTAATTCCTCTGAGCTTAGGAAACATCTCCATTTTTCATTACAAACCTGAATTTTTTCTGAACTATTCAAAAATAAAACTTGGATTTAAAATGTATGGAGTCCTCAGGAGATAATCAGTAGGAAGCTGCAGATCTGCTTCAGAGTCAGGTTCCCTGCAGTGCCCCAGCGAGAGTGGCAAGAGCCAAAAGCAGTTAAACGCTGGAATTGATTCTGCTCGTGCTGCAGAGGGTTCGGTCTGCCTACTAGTAGATGCATCGCAGGCTTTCTCATCACAGAATATTTTTTGTTAGCTTAAACTTCATTGCCAGATCCTGTCAGCATTACTGATAAAACAAGACTAATGTCACCTGCACATCACCGTTTGCCCTAGTACAAAAGTCTACCGAAAAAGGGTCTGAAGTTGAGTGCTGAGCACATGCCACATCTTGAAAAGTTGTTTAGAAACACTGGTCTACAATGGGGGATGAGGAGCTCAGGAGGAACATCCTGTTGGCCAGCTGAGCAGTATCTGCTAAACACTTCAATCCAGGAGCACTAGCGACACAAAAAGCAGATAAGGAAACAAAGCTGCCGAAGGCTGCGCTCCTGAACGTGTTAACCACGCAGGGCCACGGCCATCAGAAGGCTTTGTGCAGCCCCAGCCGATGTCAGCTCAGCTGGCACGGTGGGTATCCACCGGACGGACCCTTTAGCTTTCCTGTATCTAAGCCTAGCGACTAATTAAAGCTGCTTGCGGACAATTACCTGGAGTACGTTCTCCACTGTGACATTCATTTCTAGATTCTGCTTACAATAGGCTTGTAGTCTGTTGTTGGAGAAGCCGTAATAGTAAGGTGCAGCAAAGAGGTAGCTATTCATCTCATTGAGGAAAAAAACGTAAAGCAAAGGTAACAGCACTGATTGTAAATACAAACTGATGGCAGAAGTTAAAATGCAGTGCCTGTTAATGCAACCCTGACAAATAATCCTCCCAGGTTGTGCCTGGCAATCTAGAGCAAACGGAAGGTGAGCTGCTGTACGTGCACTTTGGACAGATCCTTCAGTTACTTTAGATTTAAGGATACAGGGAGTCTTCAGGAGGCATGTTTACTTCTCCATAATAAATGTATCTAAGCATAGACTCAAATGCTTGCTTGCTGGGAACCATTTCACCTATAGAAATATTCACTTGCCCATCTTCTGGCATGAAGGAACGGAACATGGCTTCAAAGTAACTGAAAAGGGAAATAAAAGTGATGTAACACATTCTGCAGACAGATTCTTTAACCCAGTCTTGTTCAAAGCCTGCTATGAAGCACTGCAGCTTCCAAAGAAGAAAATTCAGGTGGCAACCTGGGCAAAACCACTGCTAAATTATTGTTTCATATATGTCTGCCTGTGAGAGAACTCCAAATAAAATCCCCCTAATTTCCATCAGCACTACCTGAAATTTGTCTCTGTTTCTTGAAAATTAGGACACATGGTGCTTTCATTTTCATCTAATTTGCATAAGACCCAGCAGAGAGCTTAAAGCATTATGAATTTCCTTGGTATCTACAGGCTGCCAATCATGCAGGGTTGTTTTAAGAGCTGTGAAATGCTTCTGGTAAAATACCACGGTAACTAATACTGAATATTATTACTGGGACAGGGAAAAAAATTGTGACAGTATTTGAAATAGAAATTTTATGTGAACACTTAATATTCGGCAGAACATAAAAGGTGCAGGTACACAGAACACACAAGCGAAGGACAAATGCACTTCACCCATGTCCTGAGGAGGGACAACAGTACCCATCTTCACAAGGGTGAGCTACCTGCCTCTGCAGCAAAGTACGGGAACAATCTAGTCTCTGTTATGCACTGGTTTTTGTTGTGCTTATTCATAGCCAGTCTTAAATATCAGCAAGTGAGAAAGATTCAAGCTTCACATGATTCAAAATGGATGTTCACTCTCCGAAGACTTTTTCTGACCTCAGTGACATCTGCTCCTTTACACTTCACTGAAATCACCTTATGCTTTCCACCCTCCTTCCCTTCCTGTGATTTTACAGACTCTTTGTCTTGCAGTGCAGCTTCTTACACATCCTTGACAGAATCTCTATAGTTTTAATTTCCTCCTATCTTTCCCTGCTGGGTATCAAATTGAAAAAAAAATTATTTAATCACTGTTGTTGAAAGGCGTATTACACTCACTGAGTAAAGCTGCACCTTACACTTTGTGGATACAAAATTTGTCCCTGTCTTCTAAAAAAGGCAAGCCGACCACAGATTGCACAGCACTGCGTTTTACACCTAAAGTATTTGTTAGAGTTTTAGAAAACAGCAACTCACCTGGAGCGTGCTGCTAGGATTGCTTTATGGGCTGGCCGCGGGTGGCCGTCTAAGAGAAGGATGATATCACAGAATTCAGTCCCGGCTCCTTCTAGGTAAGCCTTCATGTCCTGAATTAAAGATGTTCCTGAAAGTTAATGTAATGAAATAGTTAAAGACACGACAGTTCCAGGTGATCAGGTACTGCCAAACTAATATACGGCCAAGCCATAGCTCCAGCCCCTCTTTCCTTTGGGACCCCTGGGGTGAGTTTGAGGGTTGGCCTTCCTCAGGATCTTGGAGCAAAACGAGCTTCAGCCTTCCCCATCACAATCCATTACTCACTGCCCATCCCAGAATCAAACCTGGCAGCTCTGCTTTCAAACCGCTGACAGCAAACACCAGCAGTGGCCACACTGAAAGGTGGTCGCCATAGATAAAGAAATCTGATTTTTCCCCACCCTCTTCATTATTTCCAACCACCAGGAATATAAAATTTTGTCTCTTAATGAAAAAGCTTTCCCAAATCCTCAATAAAAGCTTCTTCTATCCAACATTTTAATTAACCTTTGAAAATACAAAATAACTAAGAAGTAGAGCACATTCAAGTCTGATCCAAACTCACTCATATTTTCAAACTTCATCTTTTATCTTTTAATTTGTTGATGTTTGGGTCTCTTGCACCATTCCAGCTCCGGATATAGAAGCTGGCTATGCCATCTTCTGAGCGGTGCACCTCCCTGCTCCCTGGGCCAAATGCCAGCCAAAGGCTTTCTGCTTGACCCTCCAGGACTGGCTTCCCCATCTTTCTCTCCAGTCCCTGATTATTTTTGTGCAGTATTCCAAATCAACACCGACAATGCCTTTGAACTTTGTGGCCTCAGCAAAGTTTCATTATTATGTTCCTTTTTTTGTGTGTCAGGATGATAAAATCATGAATAAGACTAGTCCCAAATCAGTCCTTGATGAATTCTGTAATAGAATTGTAAATCAAATCTTCTTCCAGCACAATCACAGAATGAAAATGAAAGGCATGACCATTAGTACAGGTTATTTATCTTTTCAAAGTCTTCTCCTCCCTGCCTTCTGTTCCTTTCTTCCATTAACTTTTCTTTTTCTTGGTTAATTTTTCCATGCTTCTCTCTTTCTCTCTCGCACACAAAGGTCAGCCTTGAGTGGCTTGCTCACAAGATCTTCCTCTTTACTCCTGCTCCTCTTTGGTTAAAACCCATGAGCAGGCCAACTCCCCACTCAGCTTCGTTACCTTCTAGTCCATTTAAACTGAACATCCACTGCCTTTTCTTTGAATCATTCTTTACACCCTTCTGTTCCTTCTGCCCCCTCTCTCTCTGAAAAGATCAGGATATTTTGTTGCAAGAACGTGACTGTATTTAACATGACCTTTCATGTATTTTGGTGGGGAGACTGTTCCGTCTGAAGCTCCCTGGGAAAGGAACCGGCATGCCCTTAGTCCAGGAAACAGCCTAAGCACAGTTATACCAGCTGGAAAACCAGTGGTCTGCAGTGGTCAGGCTGTTTCCCAGACTAAACAAACCATTAGCAATGCAAAACCAGCACAACTAATTACTTTATAAAGCATAAAAATTACCGATGTCAAGTGGCTGATCGGAGTGTGTTCGAACAGGAGGTTGCTGCTTTCTCCGGACAATCTCCACTATAAGGGATGAAGAAAGATGCTCGAACTCCTTCATCATTATTACTTGATTAAAATGTGATTCCTTCACCACAAAGTTCAGGCAATGTTCCTTAAAAAAACCCACAATATTAACACAAAAATTACGGTTTACAGTATGAAGTCATCCTCCAGCATCACATAAATGTTACCATGTTACACGTGTGAACAGCCATCCTTTTCCTACCACCCTCCACGTGGATCCTGCAGCTGGAACTATCACACAATGACCTCCTTACTAAGTCACCATTCGGGGTCCCTTCTTGCACAGGAAATTCAGGACAATTCTAAGCATCTAGAAGAACCTGACTAAGAAATAATAACAAGGAAAAGATAATTGTCTGCTCTGAAGCTTTCTAAAATAGGAATCTCAGGAGATGCCGAAAACCTCATGGAGCTAACTAAGATTGGTTGCTAATAATTCTTCCTACAATTAGATACCAAAAGTAGAGTTGCAAACCCTTTGCTGTAAAGGTTGCAAACAGTCTGAAAGAGCTCTTGTAGGTTTTTGTATGACAAAATTGCTAGAAAAAACAATGTGGTGGAAAGGTGACAAATGAACCAGACCTAATGCTAAACAGTTAAAGGGACAAAAAAATGGCAGTTCATTTGCTAGTGTGAACCAAGGCTTTCCCTCAGGGCACTTTAATAAGCAAAAACTATAACCTATACCAGCTCACCAGAAGATGAGTGCAAAATTCACCCGAAGAATCATTACTACTGTCCATTTTCTGCCAAGTTATTTCACCTGGGATCCAAAGGGATCTGTCGAGGACTCATCTGTAAAATCTTTTAAACAATGGCTAGGATGCCAGAAAGAGCAGCCTTCTGCAGATGGCACCTACCCACGAGGACTAACACACACTTGAGACGACAGGATGCCAACTCAAGGCGATCCTGACCTTGTGTGGAGTTATGTGGCAGAGCCCGTTTCCCTGCTGGTAGCTAAGGCAGGAGGAGGTAGCTGGCTGATCTGAAATTATTGGCACTCGATCCACCAATGCTGAGACACTCGCTGGAGCTTCTGGGTAGCTAATGGCATCACGGTCCTATGCACCAAAGGCTGTGCCAGCATCTACATCCTTGCTGCTGACCCCACTGCTGTCCTCCTGGATGCCTTTCCTTTGCCCAAACGCAGTGCACAGAGTGCCCGAGGGAGTGCTGGTGCACGCTGGCTTCTCCAGCCCCGCTTTGCTCACAGCCGGCAGCTATACGGCCCATGGATGTGCACCACTCAGGCAGGCATTGCACGAGCTTGCACTGACTCCTGGACTTGGGTAGAGGAGTTGCTTCTCTGCAGGTTTAAGCAGAATTGGCTCTGGCCACTGCTGGTGGGAACCAGACCATCGCAGCAAATCCCAGTCTGAAGCCTGGGGGTACAGACTCTACCATGACTTCCAGCAAACGCCTAAAAGCCCTTGACCCACTACACAAAGAGAATCGCAGATACGTTCTGTTTTTCAGTAAAGTGTTTTTCAGATCAAGGGCATGAAAACAGAATTCAGGTATTTTCATGAGACCAGGTCTGTTTGCAGTTTCTGTATAAAACAGCGGGACCAGAAAATGCACTGGTTCCATCTTGCTGCAGTGAGAGTGAACTGATGGAGACCCAAAGTCACTCTGCCCTTTACATCCTACAGGGCAGATATGCAAAAATATGACAGTGGAAAAAAACCTACATAATATTCATGAGCAACTGCAGGACAATCCACGCTAACATATACTCAAGCAGCTATAATTATAGGGAAGAACTGAATTTGCAAAAGTCAATAGTTTTTGCAAAACATTAATTACATAATTTTTATTTTTTTTTATTTCTTATCAGTTACTTTGTATGCAAAACGCGATTACCTTTAGCTGATCCAGCTGAAGCTTGTTAGCATTTTCACACACAATGAGCACATTCTGCAAATCTACAGATGCTTCAATATATTGAAGGCAGAGCTGTTCCAGTCGAGAGAGCTTGAAGTTTAAAGCTAGTTTGTATACATCCATAATAAGTAACACATCCTGCACATGGCCTGAAATTACAAGAGAGAAAAATGCTGGAGAGCTCACAGAGCAAAAAGAGGAATCTTTCTCAAAGTATTTCCTTTTACATCAACCTGAACATTCGGAATGGTAGAATGGGCAGCGACTGGAGTATTTTTTTATAGAGAAAAACCCATTCCATTGCTGGTTAGACAAAACCTGAATTGATACTAAAAAAGGAGTTTCAAAATTGAGGCATGAAACAGCCACCCCAAAAGATTTTTTGGACAAAGATTTTGTGACAATCTGGATCACAATTTTTCAAAACCCACAAAAGCAAGTGAAGTCTCAAAAAACTCTGACAAGCTCCGAAGCTAGCAGCCCGACTTTCCAAAGTGCTCAGCTGCCAACAGCTCTGCTGAAGTCCTCGGGTTTTACGCAGTATTAGCAATCAGCTCCCTGATTTTGACAGACCCTTACGAAGGCACTCTGTGCTTGTGTGTGTACAGATCCGAGGCCGGTCTAGAAGAGAGAGGCAGTGGGGACCCTCGTAGGTCATTGCAATGGAGACGTCAACTCAAGGAATAATCCCCCACAGCCTTTGCTTTCCTCACAGGACATCTCTGGCCATCTGCTGTAACTACTTCTTGATAGAGAAAAGCCTTCTTGCATGTCACGTGCCTTCCCTGTGTCTAACTGGAAAATCCCATTTGATAAGCGTGCCCAATTCTATTAGCTCAGCCTTTGGATGGATCCCCAAGGTGCTGCTCTTTGAACCAAGAGGAGCAACTAGGAATACAAATGGTCAGGACAGGGCTGTTGGAGCATTCCAGCAGAAATGGATGGACCAGGGAGAACGTCTGATGGGCTCGGAAGGGTAGCAGACTGCTTGGGAACCCTGTAACAAAGGAAGAGCTCAGTACGATCATAGAATCATAGAATGGTTTGGG